GACGACGACGACGACGACGACGACGACGACGACGACGACGACGACGACGACGACGACTACTACTACTACTACTACCACGACGACGACTACTACTACTAGCAATACTCATAATACTAATGCTACGTATACTAATACTAGTGATTAGGACACTAATAATCATACTACTAATACTACTGCTAATACTACTAATACTACTAATAGTAATACGAATAAACATATAATTCTAGTGATAATACTACGAATGTCAATAAGAATGATAATACTCCTAATACGACGAATAAGCATACTAAGACGAAGACGAAGACGAGGAGGAGGAGGAAGAAGGGAGGAGGACGAGGAACGAAGGAGGAGGAGGAGGAAGGGACCAGGAGGAGGAGGAGGAAGGGAGGAGGAGGAAGGGAGGAGGAGGGGGAGGAGGAGGAGGCGAGGAGGAGGAGGAGGATGAGGAGGAGGCCGAGGAGGAGGAGGAGGAGGCGGAGGAGGAGGAGGAGGAGGAGGAGGAGGAGGAGGAGGACAGGAGGAGAGGAGGAGTAGGACAGAGGAGGAGGAGGAGGAGAAGAGGAGGAGAAGGAGGAGCAGAGGAGGAGGAAGAGGAGGGAGAACAGATGTGGGAGGAGGAGGAGGAGGAGAGAGGAGCAGGAGGAGGAGGAGGAGGAGGAGGAGGAGGAGGAGGAGGAGGGGGAGGAGGGGAGGAGGGGAGGAGGAGGTGGAGGAGGAGGAGGAGGAGGAGGAGAGGAGGAGGGGAAGGGTGGACGGGGAAGAGGAGGAAGTGGAGGAGGAGGGGGAGGAGGAGGGGGAGGAAGGGTGGAAGAGGAGGAGGAGGAGGAGGGGGAGGAAAAGAGGAGCAGGAAGGAGGACGAGGAGGGGGGAGGGGGGAGGAGGAGGAGGGAGGATGAGGAGGAGGAGGAGGAGGAGGAGGAGAGGAGGAGGACGAGGAAGAGGAGCAGGAGGAGGAGAAAGAGGAGGAGGAGGAGGAGGAGGAGGAGGAGGAGGAGGAGGAGGAGGAGGAGGACGGAGGAGGTGACGAGGAAGAGGAGGAGAGGAGGAGGAAAAGAGGAGGAGGAGGAGGAGGAGGAGGAGGAGGAGGAGGAGGAGGAGGAGGAGGAGGAGGAGGAGGAGGAGGAGGAGGAGTGGTGGAGGAGGAGGAGGAGGAGGAGGAGGAGGAAGGGAGGAGGAGGAGGGGAGGAGGAGGAGGAGGAGGATGAGGAGGAGGAGGAGGACGATGAGGAGGAGGAGACGCATCCGCACGGGTTCCCTGGATCGGCGCTTGGCTCCCGCGGGCGGCGCCGCCGGCGCTGCCACCGGCGCGCCCCGTGCGCCAGGGGGGGGGGTTCGGGCGCCGACCCAAGGAAGTCTGCTGCACGGACGTCCAACATGTCACAGCGGGCCCCTAGAATATACACCACCGCCACCTCCACCCCTCCTCCCTCCTCTTCCCTCCTCTACCTCCTCTCTACGTAGAATATACACCACCACCACCTCCATCCCTCTTCCCTCCTCTTCCCTCCTCTTTCTCCCCTCTTTCCTGGGACTGGGAGAGGGAGGGGGTGGCGGAGGCTCCTCCCTCCTAGGGGGTGGCGGAGGTTGTGGTGGTGTACGTTTTGAGGGGGCCCGTGTTTATGTTGACGCCGTTTTGTTTTTGGTTCTTCTGGGATTGGCCCCAGGGTGGAAGCATCGGCCCCGCACTGCCCATGTACCGTTTGGGTGCCCACCCGGCCCAGCAGGATGCATCGAGCGAGACAGAGAGAGAGAGGGTGAGGGAGTGAGAGGGTGAGGGAGTGAGGGAGTGAGGGAGGCATATATATATATATATAGAGAGAGAGAGAGAGAAAACAAAAAGAGAAAGAGAGAGGTATAACAGAGGTGTAGTAGAAATGGAGAGAGAAGGAGGGACGTGCGGAGGCGAGGAAGAGGCTGTGGTGACGGAGGGTGGAGGTGGAGGGTTGGAGGGTCGGATGGTGGGACAGGTGGGGTAACGAGAGCGGTGGGCTTTGCGGCGAGGTGATCAAAGTAGAGAAGGGGGTCCAGCGCCGATCCAAAAAATCTGCGCGGACCTCCGAGTTGTTATTCAGAAGCCTTGCCCACGAGAGCTGACGGGAAATGAAAAGCAGAGACGCAGAGCGGTCAAAGAGAGGAGGGGGAGGAAAGTGTTGAGCCGTGTTGGAGGCTATCTTGGAGCATCGGAGGCCTTCTTGGAGCTGTGGAGCTTTTTGGGGGGGTCTTGTGGTCCTGTTTTGGGCTTCTTTGGGGTATCTTGGGGTCCTCTTGGGGCTCTTTGGGGGGTCTTGGCGTCCTCTCGGTGCTCTTTTGGGGCGTCTTGGGGGCCCTCTTGAGGCTTTCTTGGGGCTCTCCTGGGGGCTTCGGAGGGCCTCCTGGGGCCACCTTGGAGGCCGTCGATCAAAAGGGAGGGTCCCTTCTCTATGATCCTCCCCCTCAGAGCCTTCGAAATTGCCTCTGGGGGCGCTCTTGGGGCGATCTTGGGCGCTCTTGGGGCATTCTTGGGGGCCGCTTGGGCCCTCTTGGAGCTCTCTTGGGCCATCTTGGGGCCATCTTGAAGCATCCGCAGCGCATCGGAAGCGAAGAGGCGAGAAGGCCAAACTCATCGATGCCCCTCAGGTTTTTGAAGGATTTGGGCTTCTCGGGGAGGTCTTGCTTGAGGGGTCCCCAAGAGCACTTGGATCCGTCTTGTGGCCCTCTTGGGGCCTCTTGGAGGCATGCTGTTAGCTATCTTGAGCCATGTTTGGCTATCTTGTCCGATCTTGGAGGCCATCTTGGGCACTCTGGGGCCCTCTTGCAGCCATCTTGGGCCAAACAGGAACCTCTGACACCTCGCGACCCCCCCTTCCAGGTCCAGGGGAGGGGGTATGGGGAAGGGTCATGCTACCCACCCGCCCGCAAGCCGTCTAGCTCACTCACACCCGCCATCCCAACACACGGTCGTCTTTGGATGGGCAGCTACTGGGAACCAAAGCCGACCCCAGGTGCGTGACGCTTGGGCGAGGTGCGCCACGCGCGCCAGACACCCTTGGGGCCCGAACGTGCCAGGCACGCCTGGTGCACCAGGTGCGCCACGTGTTTCGAGCGCGTCAGGTGTGCCGCACACTCCAGCCGCGCCAGGTGCGCCTGCGCACGTGACAGCACACATCAGGAACCATGTCGGCCCCCGCCATCCTTATCGAACGCCAATGCCCATCATTGTGTCTGGTGGGCATGCGCACAGCAGGCCACGCGCCACCACCCCCGCCGTCCCTGTCAAAAGCCATTTGACAGTGATCGCGGGATGGCCGCGCATGATCCAGATTTAGCTGCGACGTCCATGTTGTACTTTTTTTGTCAGGGATGGTAGCCCTGCCCACGGCAGGGAACATGCTGGCACCCCCGCCATCCGTACCAAAACAATACAACGTATTCGTGGGCCTCACGAACACGACTCAAGACTTTGCCCCAAAGTGTACTTGGCATTTTTTTTGACAGGGATGGTGGGGGGTGCCGCATCGGTATGGCCGCGCATGCCCAACTGTGGAGGCAGAGTGCGGTTTGTATTGCTTTTTGACAGGGGTGGTGGGGGCTGGCCTTCATGGTGTCGGCATGGTTATGGCTGGCGGTTTCAATTCTGTGCATGGGTTCATCAAGTGTGTCCTTGGTTCGGCCTCCTGGGCTGCGTCGCGGTCGGTTGAGTTCGGTCGGTTCGGTTCGGTCGGCTGTGGCGTCGCTATTGCGTCGCTGCGTTTCTCTGGGCTGCTTGCGGCCTGTCGGTTTCGATCCGTGTCGGTTTCTTTTCGATTAGGTCGGCTTTCGGTTGTGCTGTCGCCGTGGACTGCCTTGTTCCGTGGGCTGGCCGTGAAGGGGCGAACATCACGTACGGTCAGGAACTTTGGCTTAGCGTGTCGCGCCGCAGGTTCTGGCCCACCACGCTTCGACGCGACACGCTACTCCGCGTCCTTATTCCCAAGCGTCAACGTTCCGAGCTGTTCCTGGTCAGAGCGCACCCCGGGAGAGGTCAGGGGATTAAGATCGCGTCCTGGGGGAAGGCCCTAGAGGGTCCAGGACCCGTTTCTCTCAGGACCTGTTTCCCCCCTGTTGAGATGCAACTCCTGGGAGGTAAAATTCTGGCTTTGCCCCGGTCCGGAATCCGGTTTCATCCAGTTTAATCCCTGCTATTCTGTGGCTTAGTCCCGCACAATCCGGCTGAATCCCGCTTAATCCGCACCCTAATCTGGCGCAGCAGCCCTTCGTGGGGCTTAGTCATCCTTCCGACGAAAACCTCCCAGTAGTTGCCTCCTAACCCACACTAATAGGTTCCGAGCCTCGGTGCGGCGCAGTTGAGCAGCTTGGTGGCGCGGCTGCTTCGCTTCGCGCTGCCGGCTCCCTGCCCATGGAGGGCGGTCTTCTTTGGACTCAGGCAAGTTTGCTTGCAGGACATTCCCCCCCTCTTTCGGTAACAAATCAAATCATGGGAGCCTGGTGTACCCTCTTGAATCCGTGTTCACCGTCGACTAGTGTCGATTAGCGTCTGGCGCCGATGAGATAGCGCCGAATTAGCGTCGGCTAGCGTCGATTAGCGTCGATTTAGCGTTGATGAGCGTCGATTCAGCGTCAACTAGCGTCGATTCGCGAGAGCCGACAAGATGGTATGGGAGGCTCTCTGGAGTTGCCACCGACAAGTTCACTTGCAGGACATTCTCCCACCCCCCTCTATCCGCGGCCTGTGCAAGCAATGCTGGACCGAAAAGCCGTGCAAGTGTGTCCCGGCTGGCGTGACGTCCAGATTTCCTTTCGGGCCTCGCCACGCCCCCCCCCTTCCATGCAAGTACACTTAACAGTCTGGTGCAGGATTGATTTCCGTGTCAGTACTTGTCATACATGCGAGGCTGTGTGTAGCAATCCGCGATGGTTGTGTTCATTGTTTGTATTTTTCCGCTGCACGTATTCTTCTTTGATGCATGAATCACGCCGTTCCCGCAAGCGGGACGAGACGTCCTAGGACGCTCGGTCGGGCTCGTGCTTGTGCTGAAGAAGAAACGACCTCCTGAACAGCCTGGCGCGGCCGCACCGGCTCGCTTCTGCGACGACTCCCTACCCATGCTGCCCTGCGCAATGTGACGCCCGCTCTGACCCTGGCATGTTCGCGATGTGATTCCTGCTCGCTCGCGCGGCCCCAGAGGTTTTTATAACCCCTGCCCCCGGCCCGGTTTTTCAGCCTGGGCCGTTCCCTTTTGGCGGTCCCGGGGCCCGGGCGGTGGCCACCCGGAGGTCGAGCACAACTGGCGAAACGCTGCCCGTCAGGAGCTGCTGTCGCGCATCGCGGGCACGGCATGGAGACTCGACCCGGTTTCCCGATGTTGTGCTGCCCGATCCCGCGGCTCCAGAAGCTTCGATCCTTTCCCTGGGGCAGCTTCTCGTCCCGGATCCTGCTGTCGGGGGCGGCCGAGAGGGGGGCGAGGACCCCGGGGGGGCGTATATCATGGCGGGGGCCAGGATCTCTCCCTGGGTTTTCATTGCCCCCTTTTCTTATTTCAGTGCGTTCCCTACCCACCGCTGGGCCGCGCACATACCGCTGGCCATGATTTGCGCCACCGCTGGGCCGCGCACATGCCGCTGCCCCCCCTCTTGACCGACCCGAATTTGTGGTGGTGGTCTTTGGTGGCCCCTGATGCCGACGACGGCCCCGAGAGGCCGAAGTCGAGGGAGCACGCTCGGAAGGACGCAGACGTGTCGTCGGAGATCTGGGGACTCGACCCGGCTCCTCGGTTTTCGGTGCCGGCCGATCTCTTCTTCCCATTCATCCCGAGAGGTGCTGTCGACGGTCCCAGGGCCCGGCGAGGGCCCTCCCAGCAGACCTCCGACCCTGACACGTCGATTAAGGAGTTGGCAGTTTTCGGTTCGCGAGAGGGCGTCGCGGCCGTCATTTTTGCGGGTCCAGGTCCGTCGGTTTCGGTCCCAGGCCGTTATCACTACGGGGAGGTTTACTCAAGGGAGGTTTGTCCACCGCCGAGCTTCTTCTGAACAGGGTTCGTTGTTGGCGAGGCCGCCGTCGTTGTCCATTTGAGACAGGGGTCCGCCTGCCCGACAGCGGCCGCTGTCCGTTTTGGACCATCGCGACTTTTTTTGGGTACCCGGGCGACCCCGGTTTTCCGATGCGGTTGATGGGCCTTTCAACCACCACCACCAGAGTTAGGACGGGGGAGCAGGGAGGATTGGGAGGTCCTCCTCCTCCTCCTCCTCCTCCTCCTCCTCCTCCTCCTCCTCCTCCTCCTCCCCCTCCGCCTTTTCCTCCTCCTCCTCCTCCTCCTCCTCCTCCTCCTCCTCCTCCTCCTCCTCCTACCTGTGGCAGTGGTGGTGGTGGGAAATCTCGGCCCCTCCAGCGGTGCCGGCCGAGACCCCGCCATGCCCGCAGGGTGTGGCCCTCCGCCCTGGAGGGCCTGGAGCCGCTGCCCGTGCGGCTGGAGGTGAACGCCACCAAGCACGACAGCCTGGCGCTGGCGCGCCCTCTCTGGCGGCTTCTCGGAGGGGGGAGGAGGAGGAGGAGGAGGAGGAGGAGGAGGAGGAGGAGGAGGAGGAGGAGGAGGCCGCTCAGTACCGTTTAACCGATCCCTGACCCCGCCCTGATCCCCATCCCGATCCCCACCATCTTGCCACTCCAGTTGGGGACGTGCCTCTCCGAAGCCCGAAGGGAACAGCCTATATCCCCATCTAGGGGGGTGAATCGGACAGTGGGGCCCAGGCAACGCCAGAGGTGAACGCCACCAAGTACGACAGCCTGGCGCTGGCGCGCCCTCTCGGGCGGTTTCTGAGAGGGTGCCAGCGACTCCGGCGAAGGCGCTTAAGGTTGAATTCTGCGACGCGGAAGCACCGATCGACACGGTAACGCCTCTGGACCCATTGAATTCAACCTTTAACGATCGGGGCCGCAATCGATTCAAGGTTGATCGATCGACGTGGTGTCAAAAACCTTTGCGCGCGCCGACACCCCACGAAACTTGCGTACGTAACCATTTGCGAACCTCACCCCTGCGCTGGGACATCACTTGCAGGCGCCCTTCTCGTTCTGAGTCTCCGCCGCAGGGGCATGCTCATGTGCGAGTGCCTACCAACGGGTCCAGGCCTTGGTGCAGAAGACCTCGTGAGCATTTCGGTTCTGCAATTGCCGGCCCAGAACCCAGGTCTCCGACGGTGCTTTTTTCAATCCGCGGGTCCTCGAGGTCTCGAGGTCTCGAGGTCTCGGAGCGCATTTTTGACGTCCCCCAGTGCCTGAGCACGATCCCCTGAGGCCGAACCTTTGTGTAATCACCTGTGAGTGCTTGCCAGCGGGGCCCACGTCTTGGTGCAGGGGGCCTCCAAATGGCACGAGCGCTTCTCTGTCGGGGGGCCCCTGCGCGGAGCTCTCGAGGTCGGCGCGTGCCCCCCCTTCCCGACAGCACCCCTTCCGCAGCGCGCGGAACCAGGGGCGGGGAAGAGGTGGAGATGAAGGCGGAGGCGAAGGCTGAGCAGCAGGAGGGGAGAGGAGGAAGAGGAAGAGGAAGCGGCGGATGTTGGCGAGGAGTGGGGAGGATGCAGGAGCAGGATGAGCAAGGGGGATGAGAGGGGAGGATGAGGGAGGGGTTACGGGGAGGCGAGGGAGAGGGGAGAGGAGGCTGAGGACAGGGAGGTGGAAGCGGACTACGACGTGCAAAAGGAGGATGAGGAGGATGCTGCTGCTGCTGATGATGAGGAGGAGGAGGCGGAGGAGGAGGAGAAGGATGAGTTGCCGCCTGTGGCCGCTTCATGGCCGCCTCGTGGCTGCCTCGCTCGCGCCACGTATACTGCACCACACAGCTTGCACCACATAGCTTGCGCTTGTACCACCACATAGCTTGCCAATCCATGGTGCAATAACTTACTGTTTGGGGTTCACGCTGGCTGTTTTTCGTTAGGGGCAAATCCATGGATGCCCCCAGGGCCTGAAAGCGACCCCCTGAGGCTTGAATCTGGGTGTGGGAAGTGGCCTCTGGCGGCATGGTGGTGGCTGGGAAGGAGAAGCGCAAGGACGAGGGGGAGGAGACGAAGGACGAGGACGAGAAGGTGTTGGATATCTTCCTTCTCCTGCCAGGCGTTCCAGTGCAATGTGGGCGAGAGCCAGGACCTCGCCGCGGGGGGAGGGGACACCGGCCTCGGGATCGGCAGAGTTCTTGCGGCCCGGGGAGGGACGTCTGGGAGGGTGACGATGGCGGTGACGGCGACGAGAATTATGGTGATGACGATTGTACACCGCCGTGACAGAAGTTCCATCATGGTCCCGTGATCGATTCGTATTCCATCTCCTTCAACAGTCCCAACAAGAATGCAGCTGGCGGAGATCGGCGGAGCACGTCGTGCCCCGTAAGGTTTCCAGTCTGTTTGTCCAGGAGAGGGCCAGAAGCAACTCCGCGTCAAGTTGTACAATTCATCGCACGGGATACGCTTCCACGCAGGGTAGGTGCGCGGAGTAGAGGCTACTCCGCCTAATCGCCGACTCGCAGATGAAGACTTTCGCCACGGCGGTGTAATGATGGTGGTGCTGGTGATGTAGATGATGCGGTTGAGTGGTGGTGATGATGCGGCTGATGTTGGTATGACGGTGGTGATGCTGCTGCTGCTGATGATGGTGATGATGATGCTGAAGATGATGCTGATGCTGCTGCTAATGCTGATGATTATGTGGGTTGTCGTCCCTCGCCTTCTACCTCCTCCTCCTCCTCCTTCTCACCCGCTGCTCCCCCTCCCGTTCCCTCCCCCTTGTGTCGATGCTGCTGCTGGTTCTGCTCTCTGCTCTTCTCTGCTCCTGTCTGCGCCTCCTCCGCCTCCTCCTCCCCTTTCTCCGTTCCCACCCCTCTCGCCTCCCTCCCTTCTCCTTTCCTCCCCACTCCTCCCCATTCTGCTGCCGGCGTCGGCCTGCCTTGGGTCGCGGGTTGGGTCGCGGGTTGGGTCGCGGGTGGGTCGCGGGGTGGGTCGCGGGGTGGGTCGCGGGCTGGGTCGCGGGTGGGTCGCGGGTGGGACGATGACAACCAACAAGAACAATAACATCATCATCATCAATAACAACAACAGCAGCAGCAGCACCACCACCACCACCACCACCACACCAACAACAACAACAACAACGCAACAAGCAGAATTCTCACCACTAATCTCCGACTCAGCCACGCACCCAGGGACATTGAATGACCGTTCGGCCCCCTCACTCTGACCAGATGTCTGTATCGATGTAAATGTACACACAGATATAGGTGTGTATGTATACATGTTTGAAGATGCCTGTACTATATTCTCGGCTTGGACGTGCGCTCCAAGGCGGGCCCATCGTTCTAGCGTGTCCTTCTGCGCCCCTCCTCCCCCTCCCCATCCCCCTCCCCCTCACCCTCCCCCTCCCCCTCCTTCTCCTCCTCCTCCTCCTTCTCCTCCTCCTCCTCCTCCTCCTCCTCCTCTTCCTTCTCTTCTTCTTCCTCCTCCTCCTCCATCCTAGTTCGTTGGGCATTCGCTAACCCTTCTTAGTGGCTGGCGCCTCATCCCTTGAGGTGCTTTTCTCGCCTGAGCTGGAGTGCTTGCGACTCGTTGCTTGCACGTTTCATTCTGCGTTTTGCGCCCTGCTCCCATTCGGCCGCCCGGGTGGGAGTGAGAAGGGGCGGGCCTTCTCAGAAGGCTCGGAAGTCCCCCGGCCTCCTGAGCAGTGATCCAAGCCTTCCCCGAAGACACCGAAAACCTCTCAGAAGGCTGGCGGCCTTCTGAGAAGTTTCGCCGCCTTCTGAAGAGGCCTTCTCCCTCTCACTTCCCCCCTCTCGCCGCCGACCCACTGCTCACAACCCGCAGGGCATGGTGCTGGTCATGCCCCTGGCCCGCGGCTGGGCAGGCTCTTCGCGACAAGCCGGCAGCTCCAGGCGGCCCCCCCCCTGCCCTCCTGACCGAGGAGGAGGAGGAGGGGAGGGGAGTCCAGGGAGGGGAGGAACAGGAGGTCAGGAGGAGAAGGAGGAGGAGGAGGAGAAGGGGGAGGAGGAGGGAGAAGGGATGAGGAGGAGGGAGGGGGCGGGCCGGGGCGGATGAAGGAGGAGGAGGAGGAGGGAGGATGGAAGAGGAGGAGGAGGAGGAAAAGGAGAAGGAGGAGAAGGAGATGGAGGAGAGTCAAGCAGTGGCGAAGAGTCCCGGCCTGCCGATAGACCCACCAGGGACTATTTTAGTAACTTTCCGTGGTGTGCACGACATACTCTTCCCAACTTTATGGCTGAGGTAGTGCTGCTCGATTGCGTCGTTTTTTGTTCTGCGCGCATGGTTTTTGTTCTTGGAACGTTCGTTTTTTCTAAGAATATGTCGCGGTAGGCCTACAGGAATGCTGGGACGGTCGGTCCCGCTCAAGAACGAGGGGGGGGTGCCTCACCGCTTTCCCCTTTTGGACTTTCGTTTTCCTGCCTCCCCACGGAGGTCCCCCCATCAGCTGGTCGACCCCCCGTGGGTGGCGACGGAGGGAGGCCCCCCGAAGGCCCAGAAGACGATACCTCTTGCCGTCTTGAGGCCATCCGGGGCGTACTGGAGCGAGCTCTGGGCGACTCGGGGCCCTCTGATCTCGGGAGCGCGGTTCAGACTTGCATCCAAATCCAGTGCGTCTTGGACTTTCTTGGAAGTGGCGCCACACGGCCCTGGAGCACTGGATATGGATGAAAGCTGGCCGCTGGGAAGGGAACCCGAAACTCCCAGCTGCAGTGGATGCGGTCGGACCTACGACAGAAGAGCATGCTTCAAAATTCTTCACGC